TTGGCGGGTAGGGGGGCGCATTGAGGAACCAGGCCTTGGGGGAGCAGATATAGTAAATCCGACCCTGTGTACAGACCTGGGCACTTAGAACAGGGATGGTGGGAACCACTCATAATGGGTATAAAAGGCATGCAGATTTGGGAAATCAGTGCAGGGATGGTGGGGACCCAGGAACTCAGTAGAGTGATGGTAGAACCCCTCATAATGGCCAGAGCAGGTGTGGAAACTCATGAACTTAGTGCAGAGATGGTGGGAAACCTTCATAATGGGCACAGCAGGTGTACAGACCTGGAAACGTAGAACAGGAATGGTGGGAACCCCTCATAATGGACACAGCAGGTGTGCAGACCCAGAAACTCACCATGGGGATGGTGGGAGCCCCCCATAATGAGCACAGCAGGTTGGCAGACCCAGAACCTCAGCAAAAGAATGATGGGAACTCCTCACAATGGGCACAGTAGGTGTACAGACCCGGGAACTAAGCATAGGGATGGTGGGAGCCCCCTCATAATGGGCCCAGCAGGTGTACAGACCCAGGAACTTGGCATAGGGATGGTGGGAGCCCCTCATAATGGGCCCAGCAGGTGTACAGACCCAGGAACTAAGCATAGGGATTGTAAGAGCCCCTCATAATGGGCACAGCAGGTGTACAGACCCAGGAACTCAGCACAGGGATGGTGGGAAACCCTCACAATGGGCACAGCTGGTCTACAGGCCTGGGAGCGCAGCACAGGGATCTCACAAATAAAATTCCAACCAGATATAAAGAAACTGTCGGGCAGTTTAGTTTTATAGCATCTAGCAAAATCAATCATTTTAATTTATTTTAAACAAAGTACACTTACCCTTTTTGCCCCACCACCCCAATCTAAAGGATCCGACCCTCCCGCTCTACAGATCAGTACTAACCAAGATCTGCTGGGCACGGTTCCGATATTGTTTAGTGCCTTGGTTCTCAACTGGTGGGTCGTGACCCAAAAGTGGGCCGTGACCTCATGCTCACTGGGTCGCCACATGCCTTCTGCTTTCCTAGGTGAGAGGCCCCTCTGCCTCTCCCTAGCCCAGCACTGTCAGTTCTCTCGCCAAGCAGAGATTCAAAATATGCTGCCCGGCGCCGAGTGTCAGCTTGAGGTGGGATGAGATGGTGTCTATGGCCGTGAGGGAGCTGCTATGCTGTGACGGAGCTTCGTGCATTGCTTTTCAGTTCCCTCACGTGTCCTGTAGAGGTGACTGGAGCGGAGTGACATTTTGGCTCCCGACACCTCTATAGGGCATGTAAGGGAGCGGTAGAAGCAATGCACATATGGATGGAGCTCCGTCACAGCACAGCAACCCACACTGGGCCCCAGGCTGGGGATCCACTCCAGTTTATGTAAGTAAGGGAGACTGGGTGCAACTTAAAATATCTTTTGGAGTGTGTACCCCAATGCCGTGCATTCCATTGCAGTGCGACTTGGGTCATGACCTTATGAACAAGGACAAATGTGGGTCCTGAGGTTACACAGGTTGAGAACCACTGATCTAGAAGGATCCCAACAGTAACAAAAATATCAATGCACGCAGGTGTGATATGAATTTAAAGGAAGACTATCAACATATTGTTTGAAAAAAAATACAGCAAATTAAAAATACAATTATTGGTGCAGAATCTCAGACTTGACCTCAATCATATCCCCTGGTGGTTTGTGGATTTCCATTGACTTAAAGGGTGATTTCACTTTTCCAACCATGTTTTATGCTATACCCATATTCAGGGTATAACATGAAACATGGTCATATATAAT